ATCAAGTCTCACTTTTCCACCATGTTTCGGGTGTGCCACACAGAAGGAAAGGAATCTCTGAGCAGTGTCCTGTAGTTTCTGTTGAGGTCCCTGCCTGCAAGAGAGCAGCGGTAGTTACCCACCACGACGCCATCTGGGTTCAACATTGGGACCACCTGCAGCACCAAAGAGGAGCAAACAAAAATTAGCTTAATTGCCATAATTAAAACTAGAAAAACACAGCGATCTGTAACAATATGTTTAAAAAAAACAAGTGTATTATAAAAAATTGGTTTATTATATTAAATTGATTGTTATCTTCTTTCACAAACAAAAAAACAAACACACAAATTTGCAATGTATTTCAGTACGGATTAACACATTAAGCCAGAATAGAGACAACAGGCACCTTAAAAACAAACGTGTCCCTGAGAAGCTGAGCATCATCTGAGTCACCGAGAAGAAAGTTCAGGAATCCCTCCATCATCCAGGATGCATTGGATTCTCCTGGGTGCACCCTGGCTGTCACCACCACAGCCTTCTTGGTCTTGTCGTCCCTTCTGTTAGAGTCCTGGGGTGTTACTGTTATCACATACACAGCATTTCCAGCGAGACTTTGGCACAAGACCCGTACTTTGCAGTATGACCTAACTGTAGGGTTGGAAGTAATACGGCTAAGGTAGCGCTGCAGGCGTGAATATGTGTAGGGGTAGCAGTGGGCCAGGTAGCAGGTGTCTGAATCATAAGGGAACTGGAGAGTCCAGGAGAGTGAGTAAAGGGTGATGCCATCACTGTTGTTGTCCTTTGTATTCTAAGTGACACAGAGAAAATATACTTTTAGAAACAATCCTGTCTACAGTCAGACTTTCAATTCAGGCTTTAATCTTTGACAGATTACCTCTACACTATGTTCATACATTTAATTCTCAGCTAATGTTCAAAGGGAGAAAGTGATTGGTTCTGTTAAATAAGGTATCATAGTTAAACTTAATCCAGATGCCACCTACCTGACTGCAGTTCTGGTAGTATTTGATATTTGAACCTGCGCGTTTCCATCCAACACCATTCTCTTCAGCATCCCTCTCTGAGTAGAGGAGTGGTTTCATACCCTGTGAATACAGACTGCTCCTCTTCATCAAGTTAACGATAGTGAAGCCGTAGGTGACGCCAGCTTTTGTGTTCCTGACCCTGAAGTAAAACCACTGCGTGTGCTTTGTTGTGTACATGTCTGTGCGCAGGGTCAGCTCATAGTCATAGGCACCCCTGAACAGGCAAGAAAATATGAGCAGAGATCCAAACTGAACCTAACATTACTCCAAAAGTGAAAATATACAACTGAAAAGAACAATAAACCTGCAGACTCACACTTGGACGGCCTTCTGAAGGTTCCCACTCTCAAACCGTGACTCAAACTTGAGAGTCAGCTCTGACTGACCGACATCATAAAAAGCGGCTCGCTTAATGGGTTCTCTGCTTCCTCCAATACGAGAGTAGGTGAAATATGGGTGCTTAGCAGCTTTAAAGGGTCAGAAGAACAACAACAAAAAAAAGAAGAAACACTAAATTTACTTAAAGCTTTAAGATTCACTGAATTTACATTGTTATTTCAGAGAATAGTGACAGTATACAGTATATAACTTAAAGTACATATGAAATAACCTGGAAGTGCAAACATAAATCCCAATGATGACAGTTAAGAGTTACCATGGTCAATGCAGAATACCACCTTCCCCCTCTCCTCTCCGACTGGCATGGGTGTCCTCTCATATCCTGTGCACTGATAGAAGGGCTCT